TAATTGCGGAACATGAACTCATACATATATCATATATTAATTATGGATGGTAAAGATTGTGGCTGGTGCTAAAACTAAATTGTCTTTTCAGTTTGCGCACATGTAGGCCTATAGCCTATAGCTCAAAAAGTACTAAATCTAGAAAGTTTATTCTGGTTTCATTTTTTAAAATTTGAAATTAGGGTAGCCGAAATTAGCTCAATCTATTCAAACTGTAAACTGTAAAACACTTACACTGTTTCAGTTTCACTGTATTATACAGTGCATAATTGTTTTGAATTTTTGTACCCAAGTCAAGTACTTTTCAGTTTTGTTTTAAAATTATTTACCTTAATGAGCTCAGGGGGATACTCATCATTCCATTTAGATAAGATAATGGACTGGACATGGACATGGACGGTCTCAGAAACGTCAAGGTTGTCAACATTGAGAATTTGCAATGCACGGGGCACGGGAAAACCGGATCCGGGGATCCTGATCCCAGCATTTTGTTGTCAGCTGACTAAAATATGAATCAAAACTGCTACCTCGTTCTTGGATTCCAAAAAAAAACCTGACTAAACCTACTTCGATTAAATATTCTCTTAATTTTAATACTATTCATTTTCCCAAGAAATGCCCGATATTTCCATTTTAAAGACATTACCTAATTCTGGACTAAGGGCCATTCAAATAAATTGTACGCTAACTAATCTTTGCTTTTTTTCAACCCCTCGGACCGCAAGTTACTTTAAATAAACATAACCAATGACCATTCGCACCCGGAGTGGCTCCGTACATATTAAATGGCTTCGGAGCCGGGTGTGATAACAATAATGAGAATAATTATTTTTTTTAACTGTTTTTTCTCCTTGTTTTTTCATAGATTCATAGTTTTATTCTTTTTATTTTTTGATTTATTTTTGCTTTGTTAATTTCTCGTAGTACCGGTAGATTTTTTTTCTTTCTTATTTTCTTTTTTAGTTTAAGCTATTTTCGTAGATCAATTTTTTTTTATTTAAATCTAGTAATGAAGATGATTTAGATACATTTATTGTTTTCATTTGAATTTTAGAAAAGTAATAATATTAATTTAATTATTAAAATTAAATCCTTTATTTAAGATTATTTATGAGTATTGTTTAAGTTAAAAGATTTAATCACACAGTACTTTATGAATTAATTAGGTATTCTAAATAATGAAAATTTCATTTATAATGAATTAATTTTAACTATTCCTCTAGAGAGCTTGGCTTAGTCAGAACAAAACCACAAATTTTAAACTTTTTCCTTGGCACTGGGAGTCATACGTGCGGACACTGACTGTTTTTCCTGATATCTTGAATCTCCTTTCAACAACCTTTCTCATTTGACTTGACCTAATTCACAGGTAGTTGCAATGAACATCTTAAAGTTAAAGGATGCCATTGTATAAAGTATGAAAAAGAGATTTATTTTTGGAGGACTAGTCCTCTTTTTTTTTTACCATATCTGTCTACTGGGCCTAACACACTGGTAAATAATTTAAAATTTAATTTAAAAAAAAACCCTTAACTGACTTTAGAACATTTTTGTTTGGTTGTTAGTTATTTGAGTTGTGTACTCAAGTAATCCATAAAATAAATTAGGGGCCAGTATGGAGTAGGCAGCCAATAAACTCATTCAATTAGGTCACATCATTCGTTTGCCATTTGTCTCATTTTACTTTGTCACCTTCCTTGTTGGTACCCGTACAGTTAACTATTGTTTGTATCATTTCTTCATTTAAGTACAGACATAATGATTGAGTGGGGAAAAATATATGTGATCTGTGAAAGGAGTTTGGTTTCAAGGCAACTAAGTCATGACACATTGAAAATAAAATACTGATAACCAAAATAGATGGAGCCATTAAAAAAAAAATAGTACATACAAACCATACGCAAACAGAAAGACAAAAATCCACTAAAGTTTATTTTTTTTAAATTTGTTGTGACTTTTATTGAAAAAAATTAAACATTTTATACCAATTTTGACTTTCATGCAAAATGAATAAAGAAAAATGTGTATTACATTATGTTTTAACTTATTGTACTGTATTGTAAATGAAACTTGGCATACACATTAAGAATAACATTGAAAAAAAGTTTAAAGAAGCTTATTACACAGCAGTTATTGGAAGTGTTACAAATGGCATGTATGAGGGGTTCACATAAATATTCGAGAACTCTTTGGGGTAGCAAATTTAAAAATGTTATAAAACTTTTTTAGTTGGATATATATTAAAAAAAAGCCTCTTGAATTTTGTAAAGAATATCAATGAAAAGAAGCATGCAATGTTTGAAGACTGTAGCTAGAATACTTTTCCTCCTGATTCATTTGGCGTTCCTAAAAAATCCGGAAAACGCAAAATTGAGAAAAATGAAGAAAAAGTATAAAATTGTGTTTTTTTAAATTAGAGGCTGCATGAACGATATAAGATGCATACACTATGTACATATACCATTCATGAATTAAAAAACAATTAGAAAACTAAGACAGAAAAGATAGAAAAAAAAAATTAACACACGACCTAATAAATAAAATACATAAATTCTGAAAAAATTTTCTATGAGACATTTGTTTAAAAACAATCCATCATTAAATAAAGAATGTCAATATAAATAAGCATGCTAAGTTTCAATTATGTATTTCCAAAACTATTCCTCCTGATTCATCAATTGATGTAAGGAAAAAAAAATGAAAATGCTAGATCGATAAAAGCTGAAAAAGACACTGACAAATGCTTATTAAAAAAATGAAAGCTTACCGGTACTTGAACAACATTGGATGCATACATCATGAACACATTCCACTACTTAATTTTTTTTTTAAATGTAAGTACATAGATATAATTGATAGATTATAAATGAATGCATTTCCCAACAACCCACTAGCCGCGAGCCTAATAAAAATAATAAGATCATAAAAATTTGTGAATTTTGTTTATGAGACATGTAATAAAAAAAAACATCAATCATTATGTAGAGAATATAATAGAAAAAACCTTGCAAATTTTGAAGCATGTGGTAATAATACTTTTCCTCATAATACATTTGACGTCAGAGATAAATGGAAAATCCTAAGTGGACCACTTTAAAAAGAGAAAAAAATTCAATTAAACAATATTAGAAATATAGGAGTTAAATAAAATTTAAAGCATATCAATGTAAAATTATCAGGCAAAGGTGAAAAAAAAATATTTTGCAAAAATAGTTTCAGCAAGGCATATTCACGCATTCTCAAAGCTAAGAATTTTCTAGATATCTTTACAAATTTTAAACAATATTGTAGAACATGTTAATGTTTTTAATAAGAAATTAATAGACGCAAGTTTAGGAAACAAAAATCTGCCGAAGAAATATAAGAAAAATGGTTATTTACACAATTTTTTAAAATAATTTGCAGCACATTAAAAACATTCACATATTTAAAAAAGTAGCTGAAAATCTTTCTGAACCAATCCTTGTTAATAAGAAGTGAAAATAAATTTACAAAAAAAAGTCAAGAATGACGAATAACTCAGCAAGGCATCATCACAATAACGTAGCAATTAAATATTTTTTTAAAGTCATAAAAAAACCTACTAAGTAAGGTTACTACTCACAATTTAAATTAATATAGTTATCAAATAATTTTACAGTAACATTCAAGTATAAGAAGCACTGATTCAATATTTAGTCTCAATCATGTATTATTTATTATCAGTAACAAGCAACAAAAATGTTTAAGAACTTCATTGCAAAGAATTCATTGCGCTATTCATAAGGATAATCTATTTTTGAAGTTCTAAATGATGAGCGTCTAAGTTTAACCTTTTCACCATCTGAAACGGAAAACTATTTTTCGTGTTGTGAAATTGCTTAACCAGATGACATAACTTTCCACTCTGATTTTTCACCAATTTATTGTAGAGTAAATACAAAACTTAATTCAGGTAAGCATTATGAATTTATCAAATCTTTTCTGGGGGAGGATATCCCTGCATCTCCCATAAACCTCCTCCCCCCCCCCCTCCCACACACAACCAAGCGTTTAGTTGGGATCTTTTGGCAGCTCGATTTAAAAAATAATAAAATAATAATAATCAAAGTGTCAGTACTGGCACTTTTTTTTCCTTAAATAATTAAAAGGCGCTGTTACTAGGTAAAGAACCTGGTCGCCAACTGTGCATAAATTAAAAGACAGTGAAAATATAAAAAAGGAATTGATCTTAAGGCTGTTAGAGCCAAACAAAGGGGGTAATCTCAGTGTTTGGGATTTATCCTTGCATGGTTTAAACGTGTATATGAGATGGAATTAAACTTCCCTGGTGAGAATGTTTTACAAAATAATAACGCTACACATATGATTTCTTTTTGTTCTATGACATATATATACATATATATCTATATATATATATATAACTATATCTATATATCTATATATATATCTATCTATATATCTATATAACTATATATTATATACGATATAATTATAGTTTGAGATTTTGTTTTTATTAAATTAGACATTGAATACATAAAAATTTCAAATGAAAAGAAAAATGAGGTATTTTAAATTTTACAAATCAAATAAAGCCAAAAATGATAGGCTACTATTATGATAAGTACATAAAAATCATAAAAACACAAACAAACTTAAATATTTACATATTTGATAATACTGTACCATTCATGGTGTTAAGGTCTGAGAAGAAACTAATAATGCCCCAGTTTAAGAGCCTTTGTGTGCTCACATGCTGCAATCTTGATACATACAGTACAATAGCAGCTTGGACTTGGAGCACCAAATGAATTCAGGACCTGACACTCAGCAAAGGCAGATATTGACTGGAAGCTCCTGCTCTTTTGATCTGAGTTGCTACACCCATGAAAGGCTGAGACAGCCAGTCCTTGATATTTATTTACAAAACCCTATTGACTTAAGGAGTTGATAGATGTTAAGTGTAAAAGGTCCACTGGCATGAATTATAACAATGACAAAATATTTTTTTTTTTTAGAAACTGTAGATGAAGATATCAAATAAAATAACCAGTTGTATTCATTGGCAAATTATTATTTTTTAAATAAAAGACACACAAATAAAGTAAGGAATATCATTGTGCACACTGAAGTAGTGTAGTTTAAGAAAAACATGCAAAGGATTTTATAGAAAGAATTACATTATAGTGAATGCAATACTAAATGTTTCGTTTCTTTTAGTTGTATAATTGGCTGTATTTTTAAAAGATTCTTTTCACGGAATCTGTTTAGAATTTAAATTACAGAATGGATGAAAAATACCAATTTATATACTAGACATGTAACGTCATTTATTAAATTAACACTCTGTTATAAGAAACCCAATGACGGCCAGAATAACAAGCAGTAACATTTGCCCAGCTGCAACATTAGCACTGTTGAACCCCTTCTCTCTGCTGTATATTTTCAACTTCCATCCACCATACGATCCAGATCTGTCGGACTCAAATCTGATTATGGCCCGGTCTGACATGCCCACAAAAATGTCCTTCTTGTCTTGTCCACAAACTCTGCCAAAAAAGTCTCGACTGAGCCATCCTTCAGGTCCTAGAGGGGATAAGAGAATTATTTATATATTGGATGCTACCCTGTGCTACTCAGCTAATATACTTACACATTTTTTTTTTAAATTACACCTTTCACAAGTTAATATATACATAGGCGGCCTAGTACATAGTATAGAATATGATTAAATGTACATATTTCTGGCACTAGAGAAGCCATCATCCATCACATACAGAGGTATTATTATGTGATAATATGTGATGACGTGTGATGACGTGTGATGATATGTCATGATGTGTGATGTGTGAGAGTTGGGGGCGGGAAATTGAAAAAAAATAGCATGACATACCAATTTTTCAAATATTAATAATCCCATGCAAGAATTCATTTTTAAAAAATGACTCATTATTAAATAATGGATTAAACCTGACCATAGTTTCATTACTACTATATGGAGCAGAAACTTGGAAAACAACAGCGAGCATTACGCAGAAAGTACAGACCTTCATAAACACATGCCTTAGAAAGATCCTAAACATCAAATGGCCAAATACTATCACCAACAAAGATCTACTAGAAAGAAGTTAACAGGCGCCCATTGATGAAGACATAATAAAGAGAAAATGGAGGTGGATATGGCATGCCCTCCAAAAATCCCCAGATAACATCACCAGACAGTCTCTAACATGGAATCCACAGGGAAAAAGAAAGAGAGGAAGGCAAAAGAATACATGGAGACGCAACCTAGAGATAGACATGCAAAATATGGTATACACCTGGAAGCAACTGGAAAGGAAAGCACAGGACTGTGATGAATGGAAAATTCTTGTGGACGGCCTAAGGGGTAAAAAGGCAAAAGAAGAGTTTCATTACCCGGCGCTAAATAAGTACACCCAGAATCTCACCATTGAAGAATGACAGCATGTCCCTGCAGCCCGTTATGAAGTTGGAATCCAGAACTTCTATAACAATGATGTCATCTTTGTTCACAGCCTTCACTCTGTATCTACATTGGTAATCTCTGGGGGGGGGGGGGGGGGGGGGGGGGGGGTTAGATATTTAAATAAGACAAAAATAAGACTTGAATATTTAAATATTAATGAACACTGGACATAAATGATATTCCAAAGGAATTGTCCATATTTAAATTTGAAAGACAGCTGGTCTTCATTTTAAAAAAATGTTATCTCCCTTTAGAGATCACAAATTTGGATTGTCTCTCTTGTGAGCTGGAGTTATCTTAAATTCTTTCCCATCAGCTCCATCTAGCTCAATCTGACACATTTTTTAATTATACCCCCAATACTTTGCAAAACACCTCAACGCCTTTCAGAGAAAATAATATCATGATTTTCAGGGGAGGGAACAAGTAAGAAAAAAAGGGGGCTACTAAAAGCCTGCTGTTCTTAAAATTTTATTTTTAGAGATGGCATTTGAGTTCCATGTCCCACTAGCCCAAAAAACTTACAAGTTCTTTCAGATACTTGCAAGTTTACTAGAAAATTGTTACTCTTTTTGCTTTTCCTAAAATTTGTTGAATCCATTTTCAGAAACCACAGAGAAAGGTAAATTTGTTGGAACTTTCCCCAAAGAACCTGTGAAAGGTAAATTTGTTGGAACTTTCCCCGAAGCACCTGTGAAAGTTAAATTTGTTGGAACTTTCCCCAAAGCACCTGTGAAAGGTATCAGAAAATTAATGTTATTATTTTTTTTTTAAATAATTAATTCTTACAAAGGGTAGAAGTCTCTATAATTTGGTGAGGTTAGCTCACTGCCTGTGCTGTTGACTAATATGACAGCGTCGTGCATCGCGTTGTTCCCGCATTCAGATGCAGCTGAGAAAAATATTAATGCCAAATTTAACTTGCTTAAATAAACGATCATGATTTCTACTCCCATGTAATGCAAGGTTAATTGATTGTATTTTGTCATGATGCTTTGATAAGAATTTTTTTTAGGTAGCTGGCCCATAAAAGAATCATAAATCTTTTAAACCTAAAAGTAATATTTAAAATGTCTTATTTTAAAAAGCAGAATCTTAGGTATTGTCTAGAGATCATCTTGACAGCCCACTCCATTTGATAGCAACATGCTTATTGAACTGAGGAAAAAAAAAGTATTAATCTTCGTTTGTCCGTCTCAGAGTTAAAAAGTTGCAACAAAGTAAGACAGCTCGCATCAAAGAAAGCCACTGTATTAGTTAAGGGACATAAAAGTAGGCCGCTGGGCAAAAAAAAATTGTTTTTGTACTTACGGGGTTCATTATAAAACTCCAGTTTAATTTGTACTTACGCGGCACAGCATAAAACTCCAATTTGATTTTTGCTGGCCTTAACATATCATCTGTGTTCAGCTGAATCATCATCTCTCGTCCTGTAATAAAAATCTAATTTATTCATTTGAACCTTATTCTTCCACCCTTTAAATATAATAAAACTCCAATTTGATTTTTGCTGGCCTTAACATATCATCTGTGTTCAGCTGAATCATCATCTCTCGTCCTGTAATAAAAATCTAATTTATTCATTTGAACCTTATTCTTCCACCCTTTAAATATTAGAGCCCGAATGGGATCATTAGGAGCAAAGGCAGCAAAGCAGAAAAGAAAAGAAAAATTTAACCAAATAATGGGCTTCTCACATCCATCACTTTATTATCATTTTAATATCATCATTGTCTTTAAATTAAACAGATATTTATATTGATGTTATTGCTGGTCGATAATATGCGATGGAGTAATTACTCTTTTTTATTTAGAATTTACTGGGTTTTTTCATACATAACCATTCACTTTTCAAAAGGATTACATTGTAACTGTACACATTATCTATACAGTAGGTATCATGCAAATGGTCTGCAGTGATGGTTATTCCAGAAATTTTAATGATGATTATGTGTTTTTTCCCTCAAAGTAAGGACCAAATGATACAGAAAGTAATGTGTTTCACAATTCCTCAAGATATACTTATACATGTTGTGATTGAAGATCTGTTACAAATCATAACAACAGTCTGAAAAATGACTTTACAAATTATGTCATTCTTAAAATTGTCTTAGTTTAAAACATATTATAAGTTAATAAGATTGTCTACGTGTCTGTATAATATGCTGAATATTTGACATTGTAAAATAAGAAAATTTCATGACTTACGTGTACTATACACTTTGTCATTCACATAGAAGTCTGGTGCCATGGACTTGTTACAGGTAGTGAACAGAAGCGGGTCAGATGAAGAAGAACCTTAACATGAAAAACATTCAGTGTTTGTTGAATGACATATTATGATAACAGCCAAGAACATAATTTTAGAGAAGTTAAGCAATCCAAAAAAAAAAAGATAGGTGATTGAAGAACAAAAAATGTCAGGAGGGTTCGTAACAGGCAAAAACTACTGCGGGTGGGGAGGGGTAAAGGAGGCAAAAGACTAAAGTAATAAAAATAAATGTTATTCTTGATTCTTGCACATTTCAAACACAAGATATCAGGCATGGCCCGATGTCCACTTAACCAACAACACACTGAGTAGACAAAACAACTTTTCCTTTGATTTGTGCTCATTAGGAGCCTGCCTGTTTACAGAAATGTTTGTTTGAGCTGGGTTATGGGTTACTTAAAAATCTTCTTCGGCCCGACAGGAGGAACTTCAACCCAAGCGTTGTTGTGGGCTGCACTTTGCCCGTCCTGGTTATCTACCCCATTTCGTCACATAATATAAAGAGATAGTTGCCACCATAAATGTTGACATAACATAAAGAGATAGTTACCATTATAAATGTTTACATAATATAAAGAGACAGATACCATTATAAAGGTTGACATAATATAAAGAGATAGATAACATTATAAATGTTGACATAATATAAAGAGACAGATACCATAATAAATGTTGACATAATATAAAGAGATAGATACCATTATAAATGTTGACGTAATATAAAGAGATAGATACCATTATAAATGTTGACGTAATATAAAGAGACAGATACCATTATAAATGTTGACATAATATAAAGAGATAGATACCATTATAAATGTTGACATAATATAAAGAGACAGATACCATTATAAATGTTGATGTAATATAAAGAGACAGCTACCATAATAAATGTTGACATAATATAAAGAGATAGATACCATTATAAATGTTGACATAATATAAAGAGATAGATACCATTATAAATGTTGACGTAATATAAAGAGACAGATACCATAATAAATGTTGACGTAATATAAAGAGACAGATACCATTATAAATGTTGACATAATATAAAGAGACAGATACCATTATAAATGTTGACGTAATATAAAGAGACAGATACCATTATAAATGTTGACATAATATAAAGAGACAGATACCATTATAAATGTTGACATAATATAAAGAGATAGATACCATTATAAATGTTGACATAATATAAAGAGACGGATACCATTATAAATGTTGACATAATATAAAGAGACAGATACCATTATAAATGTTGACATAATATAAAGAGACAGATACCTTTATAAATGTTGACATAATATAAAGAGATAGATACCATTATAAATGTTGACATAATATAAAGAGATAGATACCATTATAAATGTTGACATAACATAAAGAGATAGATACCATTATAAATGTTGACATAATATAAAGAGATAGTTACCATTATAAATGTTGACATAATATAAAGAGATATATACCATTATAAATGTTGACATAACATAAAGAGATAGTTACCATTATAAATGTTGACATAATATAAAGAGACAGAAACCATTATAAATGTTGACATAATATAAAGAGACAGATACCATTATAAATGTTGACATAATATAAAGAGACAGATACCATTATAAATGTTGATTAATATAAAGAGACAGATACCATTATAAATGTCGACATAATATATAGAGATAGATAACATTATAAATGTTGACATAATATAAAGAGACAGATACCATAATAAATGTTGACATAATATAAAGAGATAGATACCATTATAAATGTTGACGTAATATAAAGAGATAGATACTATTATAAATGTTGACGTAATATAAAGAGACAGATACCATTATAAATGTTGACATAATATAAAGAGATAGATACCATTATAAATGTTGACATAATATAAAGAGACAGATACCATTATAAATGTTGACGTAATATAAAGAGACAGCTACCATAATAAATGTTGACATAATATAAAGAGATAGATACCATTATAAATGTTGACATAATATAAAGAGACAGATACCATTATAAATGTTGACGTAATATAAAGAGACAGCTACCATAATAAATGTTGACATAATATAAAGAGATAGATACCATTATAAATGTTGACATAATATAAAGAGATAGATACCATTATAAATGTTGATGTAATATAAAGAGACAGATACCATAATAAATGTTGACGTAATATAAAGAGACAGATACAATTATAAATGTTGACATAATATAAAGAGACAGATACCATTATAAATGATGACGTAATATAAAGAAACAGATACCATTATAAATGTTGACATAATATAAAGAGACAGATACCATTATAAATATTGACATAATATAAAGAGATAGATACCATTATAAATGTTGACATAACATAAAGAGATAGATACCATTATAAATGTTGACATAATATAAAGAGATAGTTACCATTATAAATGTTGACATAATATAAAGAGATATATACCATTATAAATGTTGACATAACATAAAGAGATAGTTACCATTATAAATGTTGACATAATATAAAGAGACAGAAACCATTATAAATGTTGACATAATATAAAGAGACAGATACCATTATAAATGTTGACATAATATAAAGAGACAGATACCATTATAAATGTTGATTAATATAAAGAGACAGATACCATTATAAATGTTGACATAATATAAAGAGACAGATACCATCATAAATGTTGACATAATATAAAGAGACAGATACCATTATAAATGTTGACATAATATAAAGAGATAGAAATCATTATAAATGTTGACATAATATAAAGAGATAGATAACATTATAAATGTTGACATAATATAAAGAGACAGATACCATTATAAATGTTGACATAATATACAGAGATGGATACCATTATAAATGTTGACATAATATAAAGAGATAGATACCATTATAAATGTTGACATAATATAAAGAGATAGATACCATTATAAATGTTGACATAATATAAAGAGACAGATACCATTATAATAAATGTTGACATAATATAAAGAGACAGATACCATTATAAATGTTGACATAATATAAAGAGACAGATACCATTATAAATGTTGATGTAATATAAAGAGACAGCTACCATAATAAATGTTGACATAATATAAAGAGATAGATACCATTATAAATGTTGACATAACATAAAGAGATAGATACCATTATAAATGTTGACATAATAAAAAGAGACAGATACCATTATAAATGTTTACATAATATAAAGAGACAGATACCATTATAAATGTTGACATAATATAAAGAGACAGATACCATTATAAATGTTGATTAATATAAAGAGACAGATACCATTATAAATGTTGACATACTATAAAGAGACAGATACCATCATAAATGTTGACATAATATAAAGAGACAGATACCATTATAAATGTTGACATAATATAAAGAGATAGAAACCATTATAAATGTTGACATAATATAAAGAGACAGATACCATTATAAATGTTGACATAATATAAAGAGACAGATACCATTATAAATGTTGACATAATATAAAGAGACAGATACCATTATAAATGTTGACATAATATAAAGAGATAGATACCATTATAAATGTTGACATAACATAAAGAGATAGATACCATTATAAATGTTGACATAATATAAAGAGATAGATACCATTATAAATGTTGACATAATATAAAGAGACAGATACCATTATAAATGTTGACATAATATAAAGAGACAGATACCATTATAAATGTTGACATAATATAAAGAGATAGATACCATTATAAATGTTGACATAACATAAAGAGATAGATACCATTATAAATGTTGACATAATATAAAGAGATAGATACCATCATAAATGTTGACATAATATAAAGAGACAGATGCCATTATAAATGTTGACATAATATAAAGAGATAGATACCATTATAAATGTTGACATAATATAAAGAGACAGAAACCATTATAAATGTTGACGTAATATAAAGAGACAGCTACCATAATAAATGTTGACATAATATAAAGAGATAGATACCATTATAAATGTTGACATAATATAAAGAGATAGATACCATTATAAATGTTGACATAATATAAAGAGACAGATACCATAATAAATGTTGACGTAATATAAAGAGACAGATACCATTATAAATGTTGACATAATATAAAGAGACAGATACCATTATAAATGTTGACGTAATATAAAGAGACAGATACCATTATAAATGTTGACATAATATAAAGAGACAGATACCATTATAAATGTTGACATAATATAAAGAGATAGATACCATTATAAATGTTGACATAATATAAAGAGAC